CTAATATCTTGGTTCCGAATATCACCTGTGATCTTCAGTGCCACTTGCGATATGATGTCTTCGCTAATGCTTGAAATTTCAGCCGTCTTAAACTACTTCGCATCTCCACACACTCATCAATCTATTTTTAATTACTCATAAAGTTCTTATTTTATAAAATAGGTATCAAATGAAAAAGTGGACCTTCTGCTTCACAGTGATGCTAGTAGATTGCTTGTAGAACAAAGATGGTCTGAGTAATCTTGATTTGAAAAATCTAATTAAAATAAAACAAAGTTGCAATCATCGGTCATTTCTTCACTCATTTTCACACTGCAGAGTCATAGCTGAATAAGTTGAGAAGTGCCTGTAGCCTCCAAGGGTAACGCATATCAAAATAAACAGCAGGACTCACCTTTTCAGATGAACATAGTGGCTTTATCTGTACAATGAGGTATGGAGGAGTAATCTGAAACTTTTGAAACTAGCACCAGTCGTTGTTGTTGTTGCATAATATTATTTCATATACAGTACATACATATTTTTTCAAATTGCTAGGTCATGGATTGTCCCACCATCATGGTTCTGATATCACCAGATTACAGACAGTCTTGTCTATCCATATCTGAAAAGATACCCCCCTTAACATCAATATCTTTTGAGATAGATTTACAAATATAATAATTTAGTAGATGCAAAAATATTTTTCTTTAATATGAAGGCTAATACAAAACGTATACCACATATATCATGTCAAATGATGTCAGATCTGGATAGCCCTGACTGTCCTGAAAAAATAAACATATAGCATGTATGGCTACCTCTTATAATAGACTTCATACAAACCTGCGGGGCAGATACTGTAGGACGATAATGGCAATAATAATGATTGTCCCAAAATATTAGTAAAGCTACTCATTTGAAAAGGTTATCATGTTTCAAAGTACTTATATGGACTCAACAAACAAACTGGTACCAAAGAGATTTTGCCACCTTAGGTGGTACCAAATTCTGGCTTGGCCCATGGACTATATACAGTTAAACACGTTATTTATGTTTCATTTTAAGCAAACGATCATGACCTTAAGTTGTACGCAATTTTGTGTGTGTGTGTGGATTGGGTAAAAAAGTTTATAAATTAATTTCTCTTATTAAATTAGAGTTGAATTACCCTTTAAATTGACTTCACAGGTGGGTTTGTTTTCAGAGCAGTTAAAAGAGCAACTGTCCACATCTGCCCTGCCACTCACTACCGGTCCGGATGACTGAACAAGTTTGTGTAAAAAATAGTGTGGATAGCAAAACTATTTGTGATTGGAATATTAATCAAATTGCTGAATCTTCTACCGGAGTTTGCATTCCGCATTTTACATTCAACAGAAAGTCTTTTACACCAAGTATAGAAAATGTCTGGTAATTACAGCTGTAAACCAACAAGATTAATTCCGACACTGGACAACATCTTGTCAGGGTTCTCAGAGGAAACAGACTGGATGGTAAGTTATAGACGTTCATTTGTGCAGATGGATACTCAGTCGGAGATAACAGGTAAGGATCAAATGAAACATAGAACAGGCTTAGCTGAATGGTAATGTCCTTTTCTCTCTTGCAGGTGGTTTGGAAGCAGTCACACTGGAGATGGATGGTACGGAAGGATCGGAAATCTGGTAAGTAGCAGCTGATTGGAAAGAGAGTCTGTGAGTCATGTATCGACGGTGAGTCTGTGATTAATCCATAGACGAGACAGACAATGACTGAAGTGAAGGTGAGTGCTTTACTGTGCAAGTGGGTGATGGAACACAGGTGACTGTGATGATGATGACAGGGAATTCTGGGAAGTGTAGTGAAGACAGATGATGAAGGAGGTGAATGTGACACATCTCAGATCTGAGACTCCATGTTGAAGGTGATTGTGCCTTTCATAAATTATTTATTATTTGTTTATTTGAAATGTCTGCTGTTGTACAATGGTATAAATGTTATTAATGTATCATATAAATAAATGTCAATGGTGCCAAATTTCCAATCGTTCTTCAAAATATCTTCCTTTGTGTTCAGCAGAAGAAAGAAACTCATACAGGTTTGCAACAACTTGAGGGTGAGTAAATGATGACAGAATTTTCATTTTTGGGTGGAGTATCCCTTTAAGTATGACACTCTAAAATAATAATTGTATATATGAATGGTATATATAAATGCTTTTCCATAAAGGAAACAGAAAGTGTGTGTGATTCAGTTAGACTCTCTAGTCCAGCATTAATTTCATTTAATTAGATGAGCTGACATTTTTTTTCATATGCAGACGAACCCTCAACACGAACAACTTATTGAGTCATTCTGTTACTGTTTTTTTTAGTATTCCTTTAGACTATTCACTATGCTTTATTGAATGCATGTTGAACACATAACTCACGTGTAGATGTATCATAAACTAAATGTATAGGTCTACTTCTCTGTTTTTATGTAATTAATATCACTAAACAAATATATAAAGCAAATAATTATGTCGTCAACCAAATGTATAAAACCAAACTTTTCAAATAAAATAAAAGCTAAAGGTGTCATGTGACTCATTTAGAATTGTGTATCATAAACCGATAACGGCAATGATAACCTACACTTATATAAGCACAATTTTTATCAAAGTGAATCTTTGTAAAGTGTTTGGTCAAATGAAGGTTTTTCATTTTATCTAGTGATCTAGATTGTGGGTGGGCACATGGACAGGAAGTTCATCACTCACAATGTATGTAGTGCAGAAGTGCCAAGCATACAGTTGCTCATAAATGTGTTCAGTTGATATGTTTTTTAAATGGGTTACAAACGCTCTTTTATTTATGACTTTAATTTTACTCCCATATTCAGGTAAGAGAATTCAGTTCTGTTTACCTTGCCCTTTAATAAAAATAAGTTTCATATAATGTCTCAGTTGTGACTTATACTGTGTAACAAGTATTAACTGACTGATAACAAATTTTTATTTTTTTTCTGCACATTTGAATACAACATTCTGTCTCGATTTGTTTTAATCCACAGATGCGGAGTCTATCAGAGCAGTTAAAGGAGAGACTGTCCGTCTGTCCTGCCACTCACTACCTGATGACAGTGTACAAGTTTCTGTAGAGTGGATAAATAGTGCAACTAGCAAAACTATTTGTAAATGGAAATTTGATAAAAAGTCTGAATCTTATACCGCAATGCAATGCATTCCTCATGTTACATTCAACAGAACGTCACTAAGTATAGAAAATGTTCAGTTCAGTCACTCTGGTATTTACAGCTGTAAAACAACAAGATTAATTCCACCACCATCAGTGGACAACATCTCAAATGTGAAACTCCAAGTTGAAGGTGATTACCATTCATAAATGATTTATTACTTTGAACTGTCCACTTGTTGTAGACCATCTTAGATGTCCGTAATAAATATAATTCTTCACTATCTCCGCTCCTCCAGGTCTGTCCCTGCAGAAACAGAACGGCAGTAATGACAGCTGTATTCTTCTGCTCTGCTCTCTGGAGGCTCTGAACCCTGAGCTGGTGAACTTCACCTGGATTCGAGAGGGTCAAGGCTCACTTTATTCATCCACATCTTATGACATGAACAGTTCTCTGGATCTGTGTAAACCTGACTGGAGTGATGGAGACACGATCATCTGCCGCGCCAACTACTCAAACACCCGAACACCTCTCGGCATGAATATTACACTTGACTTCAGCAACAAGGGTGAGTGGTTTTAAAATACGATGTAAGCCACAGTCCATATAGGGGCATTGTTTAGAAAATGAAATGCATAAAGAGCACTGTGGGTAATGTGATCATGATGTCTGTGTGTCATGAACATTTTCTGTTTTTGTGGGTGGTGCATAATGTCCCTTATCTTTTAAATCCTATAAAGTAAATACATTTTTAAATTGTATGAAAAACAATATATATATATATATATATATATATATATATATATATATATTAAGATAAATAAATTGACCTTTAAAACTAAAATGATAAAATATAACTAATATATCAACCCATCTGTCAGGCAAACCTGGGATCCATCTTCCAGAATCCAGCCAGAACTCTCCAGCGTTTTGTTTGGTCCTTTTCTGTACCTTCGTCATCTGCATCGTTTTCATCTGGATGTTGTTCTGCATTTCCAAATGTAAGAAATACTGTGCATTTTGCACATTCAGTAAATGCTAAATCTGACACTATAACTGAAATTCAGTTCCATCCAAAAGTAAAAAGTGTGTTTATACTATATTATTAAACAAAAAAAGACAGAACCGACAAGTCTATCTTTATTGAACATATGGATGGGAAATTCTTCTTTTTTTTTTTGGTGAAACATTTTATGAGACGCAGTTCTTTTAGCTTTGACTGTGTAAGAACTGTGGCTAAATTATGTACGTAACATTCATATCTTGCAGATAAGAGTGTGACCTGCTGCATTGGACCATCGACACAAGAAACTTATTGAATCATTCTGTTTCTGTAATTCTGTAAAAAAAAAAAAAAAAAAAAAGTATACATATATATATATGTGTGTGTGTACAGAGAGAGAGTTGAGATCCTTAATTTTTTTTAATTATTCTTAATTGAATGCATATATTGCATACATAACTCATATGTAGTATGATGTATCATAAGCTGCAAACATAGCTCTACTTCTCTGGGGTTTTTTTTGTTTTTTTTCAAAGTATCACTGAACAAACATATAATAATACAAATAATTCTCCTGTCACCCAATTGTAGAAAACCAAACTTTTTCAATAAAATAAAAAATCCCTTAAGGAGTGTGAGGCTGATTTATGAAGATACTGTAAAGAAAGTTAGTTTGAAGATTGTGCATTTAGGGCAAATTGTGAAATTTTGTGGTCTTTCCTTCCAGAATGTCGTAATATTTCACCTTAACACAGCAGAACCCCTGAAAAAAGTAGAAAATCTTTTCTATTTAAACTAGTGTATTCTCATTTGCTATAGATTGTAGGTGGGCACATGGACAGGAAGTTCATCACTCATAATGTGTGTGTATCAGTGGCGTAGGTTTGATTTTGAAATTGGTGGGGACGGGGACATCAATATAAATATATTTTAAGTTTTGATCGAAATTATTGCTACGGATATATCAGTGTCACTGGATATTGGTAGGGACACGTCCCTACTAAATTCTACGCCCCTGGTGTGTATTAGTTCAGAAGTGTAAGACACTGAGTGCATCAACATGTTTTTAAAACGGGCTTCAAACTGTCTTTTATTTTTGAATTTCAGTTATCTCCCATAAGAGACTTCAGTTCTGTTTACTTTGCCCTTTTATCTAAATCAAAGAAGTTTTATATAATGTCTCATTTGTGACTTTCATAAATTATGTATTACTTTGAACTGTCCACTTGTTGTAGACCATCTTAGATGTTCGTAATAAATATAATTCTTCACTATCTCCGCTACAGCTCCTCCAGGTCTGTCCCTGCAGAAACAGAACGGCAGTAATGACAGCTGTATTCTTCTGCTCTGCTCTCTGGAGGCTCTGAACCCTGAGCTGGTGAACTTCACCTGGATTCGAGAGGGTCAAGGCTCACTTTATTCATCCACATCTTATGACATGAACAGTTCTCTGGATCTGTGTAAACCTGACTGGAGTGATGGAGACACGATCATCTGCCACGCCAACTACTCAAATAGCCAAACCCAAACAAGAATACGACTCGCCTCACATATGCTTCTGACAAAGGTGGGTCATTTAAACTACCTATCACTTTAACCACAAACTAAAGAACAGTGTACCAGTTCAGCAAAGCTGTTCTACTGCCTTTATCTCTCAAAAGGAAATATAAAAAAATATATAAATCAACCAATCCATCAGGCTAACCTGATATTCGTCTTGAATCCAGACAGGACTTTCCAGATGTTTGTGTGGCCTTTTTCAGCATCTTCATCATCGCCATCATCTTCATCTGGATATTGTTCTACACGTTCAAATGTAAGACCTCCACTGATATCTGCTCTCAAATTCTGACACTCTATAATAATAATTATATTATATACATAAATTGTTGGTTGTCCTGACTTAAATATGGTAGATAGTTCCCTTAAAAATAAAAATACCGTCAAACTTTAGTTTAGGGTTCAATTCTCACTATTAACTAACTATTTACTACAACTTTTGCCTCAATAAACCCTAATTACTGCCTGTTAGTAAGGTAAAGTTGGCACGGTTAAGTTTAGGTATTGGGTAGGATATGTAGAATATGGTCTTTCAGAATAAGCCATCAATCTGTGCTTTATAAGTACTAATAAACAGCCAATATCCTATATGCATGCTAATAAGCAACTAGTTAATAGCAAAAATTGGACGCTAAACTATACTGTTACCGAAAAATTCTTGCACGCCTTCATGTCATTCCGTATGAGTTTCTTTCTTTTGTGGAAAGAAGCAACGAGCCTGATGTCGGTGCAAAACTGTATGACATTCTTTCTTCTGTGGTACACATAAAACAAAATATTTTGAGAAATTAGATTTTTTTTAAATGGTCAAAGGTCACCCAAAAAACAAAGCAATGTTAAAACGTTGTCATAACTTTTTTTCTTTCTTTTTTTTACAGTGTAATTATCGATTATAATACTTTATTGCTGTGAACTCGTTGCCATTTTGACCAAATTCAACATTTTAAATCTACTACGTGATTTACATGATTTGTTGTAGGCCTACACCAGATGAGCTTTTGCAGTCAAGTGTTTGGGGGAGTAATTTTTAAGGGCTGTCAAGTTCCGTTGCACTTTGCTTGGTTTGTTATAAAATAACCCTTGTTCCTTTGCATACTAAACTTAAATGACTCTACTATCACGCATGCACACCTTCACAAGATGTTGTCCCACGACTGACACTGTTGCCCCCTTCAAAGCATTAACTGCATGACACATCCGTCTGTGCTAGTAGGAGGTGAACACTGAGTATTCAGAGCATGTTGTGAAATGTTGTGGTCTCCCTTTCCAGTGTGTTATGGCGTCTTACTTATAGTTTTACATGGAAAGCAGAACCACAGAAAAAGAAAGAGAAAAACAGACATAAAACTCCATGTCCTATACCCATCCATGTTTGAAAGTAAAATTACTGTTTTTTTTTGTTTTTTTTTAAATGTTACCTCTTTATTTTCATATTCTCTATGCCATCGAATACACAACAACAAAGCCATTGAGTCAGAAAGATTTCATTCAAGATAATACAAACTCTGTTTACAGAAATAGATCGAGTTTTAAAAACACAGAATGGTGTAAAACAATGATGTGATGGTAATATATCCATTTAAATTAGCACGATTTGTGTTAAAGTGAATCTCTGACCACCGGGACAGATTTAGTTTTTTTTACTTGTGATCTAGATTGTGGGTGGGCGGATCGCATGGACAGGAAGTTCATCACTCAGAATGTGTGAGTGCAGAAGTGTCTCTCAAGACGAGCACATCGACAACATGTATTTAAAATGGGTTACGAACCATCTTTTATTTTTTACTTTAATTTATCTCCCGCATACAGGTAAGAGACTTCAGTCATGTTTATTTCGCTCTTTTGTTTAAAGCAAATAAGTTATAATATAGCCTATGTCTCAGTTGTGACTTATACTGTCTAAGAAATATGAATTGACTAAAATTCAAAGATCTCAGTGATGGACTAAATGAATGCATCTTAGATATATATGGTCGTGTTTTTTGTGATATCTTTTAAAATAATTGTGGCTTATGAACTAATTATTTGAAAGGAACATTCTGCTGTATAGTTACACAAAACAAGATGCCAGTGATGGGCTTAATAAATGCAGTAACACTTTACAATAAGGTCTTATTTGTTAACATTAATTAATGCATAACATGAACTAACTACGAGCAATATATTTTTACAGCTTTTATTAACGTTTAATAATGTCAGTTAATAAAAATACAGTTGGACATTGTTTGTTCATGTTACTTCACAGTGCATTAATTAATGTAAACTTTTGATTTTAAAAAAATGTGTACATGTAGAAATTAGCATTAAGATGAATAAATGCTGTAAAAATTATTGTTCATTGTTATTTCATGTTTACTGTAGTTAACTTATGTTAACAAATAAAACTTTATTGTAAAGTGTTACCAATTCATCTTATATGTGGTAGACTTTCTGTGAAGTCTTTCACAATAATTTTGATGTACGTGCTGTATATTTGAAAGGGAACATTCTGCTATTGTTTACACTAAAATCTGTATAAATCCACAGATGCGGAGTCTATCAGAGCAGTTAAAGGAGAGACTGTCCGTCTGTCCTGCCACTCACTACCTGATGACAGTGTACAAGTTTCTGTAGAGTGGATAAATAGTGCAACTAGCAAAACTATTTGTAAATGGAAATTTGATAAAAAGTCTGAATCTTATACCGCAATGCAATGCATTCCTCATGTTACATTCAACAGAACGTCACTTAGTATAGAAAATGTTCAGTTCAGTCACTCTGGTATTTACAGCTGTAAAACAACAAGATTAATTCCACCACCATCAGTGGACAACATCTCAAATGTGAAACTCCAAGTTGAAGGTGATTACCATTCATAAATGATTTATTACTTTGAACTGTCCACTTGTTGTAGACCATCTTAGATGTCCGTAATAAATATAATTCTTCACTATCTCCGCTACAGCTCCTCCAGGTCTGTCCCTGCAGAAACAGAACGGCAGTAATGACAGCTGTATTCTTCTGCTCTGCTCTCTGGAGGCTCTGAACCCTGAGCTGGTGAACTTCACCTGGATTCGAGAGGGTCAAGGCTCACTTTATTCATCCACATCTTATGACATGAACAGTTCTCTGGATCTGTGTAAACCTGACTGGAGTGATGGAGACACGATCATCTGCCACGCCAACTACTCAAATAACACAACCCAAACACATATAATACTCACCTCAGACTCAGAGTCAGAGTATGGATCTGACAAAGGTGGGTCATTTAAAATACCTATCACTTTAATCAGGACAAACTTGTACAATGTTTCATTTACTAAATCAAGTCAAGTCAGCAAATTTCCACCAACCTTATTGTTTTCAGCCAAACTACTAGTGGAAACAAAGATAAAGCCACATATAAATAAATAAATGTTTTTTTCTGCTTTACAAAGATAAGGATCATACCGAAAAAAAGGTTACACTTTTTAAGGTGTCCGTGTTACTGCGTAATTATACATTTAAGTACTGAGTAATAATAATTAACTACATGTTCTTACTATTGGGTTAAGATTATGGTTATTAGGTTTAGGGTTAGTTCCATGTAATTAAGCAGTTTTTTTTTCTTGGGGGAGAAAAAAATTGCCATGCCTTAAAATAACTTGTATGTAACTCTACACCCTTGCCTCATTTAGTAGGCTATACGGGGCTCTATGAATATGCAAATTAGCCCCGCCTCCACTCACTCACACCAGCTCAGAGATCCACTCGTTGAGGATCACACGGTTGACGTGATTGGTTACCAGTAGTTTGTGACGTCAGAAACACCAGCGATTTCAAACTGCGTTTTTGAGACTGTCTTTTTTCACTGCAGTTTTAAGGAGAAAATATTCAGCAATGCTGCTGACTTATGAGTTTGCACATGGTTTGTTTTAAAGCATATTAAAAACACAACATAGACATATAAACAACATCAGAAGCTTGATTTTCACCATAGGGGGACTTTAAAAATGCAAATGCACACATTAATTCAGCTATAAATAAGTTTGATTTCAAATAGCATGAGTTACAGTAGGAGAGACAATATGATGGTATCAAGCAACCTGATTGGTAAAATATGAGGAGAGATTGTTGCTGTTTTCTTGTTGTCTATGTCAAAAATGCATCATCCTAATCTGTATGATCTGATCGTACCCTGTTTGTGACCATGACAGCTCTGTCCCAACTGATCATCCTATGCAGTGCTGCCGCTGCTGGCCTCATCCTCTGCATCATCCTCATTGTTGTTTGTTGCAAATGTGAGTATGATTATGTTTAACTCTTTACCAATTCATACAACTCAGATTACTTCGATTTGTAGAAACCATTGACTCCCACGGGGGGAAATCATTTTTTAGTAACAGCGACTTCAATAAAAATAAGGAAATTGCATAAAGAATCTTACTTTATTCATGTTACACAATAATGAAAGTTAAGAAATAGTTCAGCAGCTCAAAAAATAGGCAAGAATTTGACGTAAATAATGACTTCCTCCCTAAAATCTTCCTCCCTCTGTTCAACACCTCTCTATCTCTATACATCAGTATCCTTCCTATGTATATTTCTGCTTTCTGTCACCATGACATCAAAATCTCAAGAACAACATCTGAAAAAAAAAAAAAAGGGAATGAACGTGTCTGTTACAGCATATTGTGAACTAAAAACAGCTAAAATAAAAAGGTAAGATGGTTTGCTGATCCTTGCTGGTTTAATCCAAGGGGGTAATCCATCAGCCGGAAACTGAAGTCTCCCCTGGGGCCGCCATTGGTTAGCAAGCCTTCACCTGCTGTTAGCACTCCATTGACTCCCATTCATTTTGGCGTCACTTTGACAGCGAATAACTTTACATCTGAGGTGTTTAAAGACTCCATTTGTCCATTGTTTATTTCTAAAGAAACACGACAATATATAAAAGGCTCCATTACCTTGTATCTTACGTTATGGCCCCGTAGGAGCAGTTTTTGTAAAAATAGGCTAACGATTGCGTCATAACACGCGACTCTCTGTCGCACAGTACAGAAATGACCTAAAGAAATGGAGGCATAAAGTCCAGGGAGAAGCCCAAAGAGAGTCACAAAGTTGCTGCTGCTGCTAGCTCATGGACAGCTCCTACTCACGATCTCCGGCTCTGCAAGATTCGGAAGGGAATGATTCATATTTCTCTTGGCACAGCTACTAGAAGACGTACAACTGTGAGACAGGTTGCTCATGTCACATCTACGTCATCAAGCTCAGTTTGAGCCTGCTCAGTTTGAGCCTGCACAGTTCGCTTGGCAATCAGGAAGTGAGTGCTTCTAATTGACTTCACTTTTCTCCATTGAAGTCTATGGGGTCACTGTGTCCATTTCTTTTACTGTCTATGGTTTAATCTAGTTTAGCTGGTCTCCCAGTCTGACCAGCTTGACAAAACCCCAGCAGGCCAGCTGAACAGCTTGCCGAGACCAGTTTAACTCAGCTAAGATCAACAAATTAGCTAGTTTTGGATCTTATTTTGAGCAAGGAAGTGAGTAAGACCAAGTTACCACAGTTTAACAAAACAAAAAACAATAGCCTATCTATAGTAGTTACATGGGAAAGTACCTAAAGATATTTTGAGGTTATTGTGTTTGTCTACTGATGCATTAATTGTCCTCATGGATCACTAAAAAAAATTGATTTAAATTCGTCCTTACCTCACCAGTACATTGTAAACATATATTTAGAGACCTCCACTAGATGGCGATAAACTGCGGTAAATAAACATTTACCACAATTATTGTCAAAAAAGATTAAAGTTCAAAAGGTTTTTTATTATTGTACTGTTAAAGCCATAATTTTAGTAGATCGAGTTAATTTTTTTATTACAAAAATTACCGTAACGATTTATATTACACAAACCACTGTTATAAATTATTTAGGCATATGCTGTGGAAATGAACTATATGTTAATTGTATTTACATATGTTTTTCTATGTCTGTTTGATTGCGCAGGCAGAAAGCGACATGAAAACGGATCTATAGTGTTCAGCAATAAAGTCTATGAGAACTTCAGTTTCGCCATGGGCCGCCAGAACTCACAGGCCATTGCTAAACCTCAGGCAGAAGAGTGTATTTATGAGAACTAACTGTTGCTGCTTACTTGAGTTTGGAGAAGCGGTTTTAATGACATGGTATCTGACCAGAGGCACATGGCGCTGTGCTTAGTGACACATCCGGTGGCACATCCAGTCTTCATTGGCATGTGCCAGTGGATAGTGGCATGTGCCACTGACATTGTAGCGAAACACTGACACCGTGGGGCTGTTTACGATACCGTTTTCAACTAAAAACATAAAACTTTTTATGCGTTTTGGGTGCATAAACGGGTTTCAAAGTGTATGTTTTTGAAAACGGTCTAGTTTCTATGTAAGCAACAAAAACGCGTTACATGTTAACATGTTACATGTAACATGTTACATAATCTACATTATACTCCGGCAGACTACAGATCCGCGTCACTACTGGAGGTGCCACAACATAAAGAGACATGTCAGTTTTAGTGGCACATGCCACTATCCACTGGCACATGCCACTTAAGACTGGATGTGTCACTTAAGCAAAGCGACATGTGCCATTGGCTTCTGTGCGTCCGATCGATGCCATGTCAATAAATGTTAAAACCGCTACTGATGATTTATTTAAAGCCAGGTGGGACCAGTTGTTACAAAGGCAGTACCCATGTTATGTGGTTTTTCTAAGACATTTGAATGATGGTGCACTTTGAGTGTGAAGCAAATGGCCACTTTACTGACTTAAAAACTGTAAGTAGTAGTTTATCAGTAGTAAGTAACTTTGTTTTCATTGTGTTTAGCCTACTAAACTATTATGTGTCGTAAAATAAATTATATGATTATGAACATGACTTATGTTTTTATTAGATCAAATGCTAGGGCATTATTACAATCTCTCTTTGCACTTTTTGTCATGTGACTTTTGGTTTTGGTATGGTATTTGGACTAATTATTGTACTATTTCATCTCTTGTAAATAAATTACACATCAAAAGTCTTTTTGTAGCCTCTACTGTCAAACCAAACTTTGCAGAAAATAATCTCACACTTATTCATTATCTAACACACTACTGCATCTCCTAATCTCTGATGAACTTTGGGTTGCAATGAAAAATGATCCCTTAATTATGGTCATAGTTTAAGGGGAACTGACACGAACAAAATATAATTCGATAACATGTTGGTTATTAAAATTTTAAACAAATTAATAAAAAAATAAAAAAATAAAAAATAAAACATATATGAAGTTTTCCCTAATACTGAAATGAACATTTGTTGTTATTAGAGCGCAGCCGTGTTCGATGGCGTCACTGGCATGCTACCACTGCTACTAACATTAGGCTGCGCCCTAGTAACAAAACAACAAACTAACATCACTGTTTTCCCCCCTTCTAACTACTTCAGTAGTTTTAAGTGTCCTACCACAAATAACAATGATAACACATCTTTTTATATCACCTTTACTTTCTATTTTGTTTCAGTTTCCCTTTAAGCAAAGGTAACGTGAGCTCTGAGTAAATGTCAGTAGTTTATTTAGTAAAAATGTAAACTTCGCTCCTTTTAGCATAGGGTGCTTTATAGATCTCAATTTCTCAATCTCAAGTTCTATGAGTGTTTGTGGTTGACAAGTACATATGATTTTACTGTCACATTGCACATGAATAAGACATTAAAATGATATTAAACATTAAAGGGGTCAAAACCTGCATTGTTTTATAATGTTTTGTAAGGCCCGGCTAAATCGGCCCAATGGAGGCATCCGACCAGCGGGGAAGGTCTCTGCCTGTTACTGTATTTCCGCGTGGCAAAGTAATTTGATTAAATGCAATACATTTTCTCATATGTATCACTCGTTATTTCATCTGACTCCATAAATGAAAAGTTTTTAATGATATACGTGCATCATTAAATGTGAGTGAATGTTTGACTATTCTTTTTAACTCTTGAATGAAAATAATGCCAAAGTCAATTAGAATAATCAAATGTAACAATTTATTATGTCAGGTAAATGTATCATGCCAATTTCATAATCAGTTCAAATATAATCAATACAATAACATCAAATGCTCTGGAATAAAGAGAAGAGATGCAAACCCAACATTAGGAAATACATGAAGCTGAGAGTCCCGGCGGCTCTCAACATTCATGGGCTGATCTGAGATACAGAAGGCCCCGATCCTTTTGCTGCATTTTTTTTATATAGACAGAACCTCTTTCACATGGAAACGAGCTAACAATGAAAATTTGCATTCAGAGGTTACACCTTTTGGGAATGGGAGACCATTGTGTGTCAGTTATCTCTAAAAAACCTTATTACCTTTTGTTTTACTCATTGGGAATGAGACATTTGTACCAGGCACCCTGAGACATATAATTATACTAAACATGTAAAATACTCGATGGTAAACATTCACATTAAACTATTTAGATTCTTGGGTGAGTTTTTGGTGATCTTCGCATGGGGGAGAAGGAGTGGGGGATGAGGGAAAGAAATGTAGATTAGGATGCTTCCAGTTTTTCCAGTCCTACAGTTTCATGGGGTGCACTTATAATTTTAGTATGATTTTTACATCGAAAATTGTCATAATTTAGAAATAAAAGGCATTTTTCCTAGCCTGATTTTAGCCCTCTGATTTGAACGCTCTGTTTTAAGGGGTGTGTCTCCTTAGAGACTTCAGTGTAAACTCCCACTGCTGATTGGCCATATGAAAGCTAAGTATTACATGTGGAACTCTCTCAAAAACTTTTAGCACGTTTTTAGTATTACAGCTCTCAAGGTTACGTCACACGCATCACACACATGACCAGCGTCGGCCAATAGTGAGCCTAAGTGTGACGTACAACACAGAAGCGCTGCGCTGTTACACTA